GGAGTAAGCACAAAAAACGGGCAAACAAACGAAGCCTAACCTTCGCTCTCCCACCGCCACTCCTCTCACACATCTTCTCCCCTCTCCATTTCAATGACTCCAACTACTGCTGAAACTCTAAACTCCAACCCTAACGAAACCTGGACCCTTGTCACCCGCCGCCGCGGCAAACACATTACTAATCCCGCCTACCGATCCAAAACCCCGACCCAATCCTCAAAATTCGGAACTCCATCTTCGTGGACCCCGACGGACTCTTCTTCTGATCCCCCGAGAGAATCTAAACTCCTCCGCCAAATGCAATCCGCTATCCGCCAACTCGAAACCTCTCAATTCGTCAGCCGCTTCCTCTCCCGCCTTCGAGACCCCAAGATCCAGGAAGGATTTAACAAACTTCTCGCATCCGGTTCCCCGATACAGATTGTGGCGTACGGAATAGGAAGCATCGAGTCATACAAGGTGCCGCGGTTGCAGCTCGCCCTAGCTCTCCTTCTGAAGAAGGAGCTCGGCGTGAGAGCCGCTGGGCCGATCGAAGTGTTTGACCCTGTTCTCTCTGCGGTGGAGTGCGCCGTGTTGGAGGCGCTTGGCTGTAGACTTATTGTTGTGGATGAGTGTGGACGGCGGGAGACGGCGGTACCTACGATTTTCTATATGCCGCATTGTGAGGCAGCGCTTTATGATAATCTACTGGATGCAAATTGGAAACCCATGATGTTGAGGAAGATGGTGGTGCTTGGTAATAGCTTTGGCGTTTATGAGCGGTATGTGAGCGAGATGAGAGGGGTCTGTGGGTCTGTCTCTCTTGAAGTGGATGGAAGGCATTTGCTTGGGATCAGGAGGTATGTGCGGGAGATGGAGATGGAGGAGAGGGATAGTGATCGAGATATTAAGGAAGATGAGGAGGAAGATTTGTTTTATAAGGCTTTTCACGATATGAGCTGGCATTTCTTCGAGCTTGATGATGCTGCTGACATGGAGCTTCTTTGCAAATGAATTCGAAGGTAACTTGTTCCCGGCTTACGTTCTGGTTAAAATTAAATCTTGTGAGCAATAAAGGATTGCTTGTTGGTTTCTTACAAATGTAAGGCCAGAAAGTCTATGAAATGGAAGACCGTGTAGGATATGAAATGGAAGAAGCAATTATATTTTTTATGCAATGATGATTTGTTGTTTTTTTATTGTTGAATTTTGCTTTGTTTTACTTTTGTGCAAATTCACTTAATCATCTTCGTGGAAGAAGAAAATAAATCTTAACTCAAAAGAAATGCTGAGGCTTTTTACATTGCTCTGTATTTTTCATGTAACTCAAGAAATTTTTGCATTGTGATAGCTTATGTAGTCACTTGTAAAAGCATTCATGGTAAATGCCTTTTTAGTAAAATAAAATATAGCTGCATGCATTTTTACTAGTTAGGATAATTGGGTACAAATACTTTCAAAATTCTATTATGCTGTTGTCTATGGTCTATATGGATTGAGTTTCAGCCTTTAGTTATTAAAGGCATTTAGGTATGATGAATCATGGGTTCCCTCATCTATGAAGCTTCTCAAAGAACCAAAGTTGAGTGTGCTTGGCTTGATAGAGGTTGAGGACTTGGTGTTTTCATGTCTTTGTATGCTGATTAGAGCCTATTGACTAGATTCAAAATATTTAAGGAAGAGACCCTTTACTAAATGCCAATGAGACCTTATTTTTCTATTGTTTTGGGCTTACAACTAAATAGATAGATTGGGGTTTTAGCCTGTTAGAAGCCTTGTTTACCTTGGTTGCCTTTAATAGCATTGCATGCATTTGTTTGTATCACAAACCAATTTTGAATCCTATCATGTATTTCATTAAGTTTTTCTCTTCTTCTTCTTTTTTCCTTAAGGTTTTCCTCTTTAGCATTATGTTGAGGCATTTTTTGAACTAGCATGAATTTCCAGGCGATGCATTATCAAACTTTATATTGTGATATGGAGGCAAACATGAATATTGCATCAAATTGATTGATGGAAGACGCAAAACAACATGATTTGAATATAGCTCAACAAGGAGAGTAAAAGTAGAGAAGATAGTTTATTTCCTTCTTGAAATCAAAGTTAGAATAACATCCTCTTTCTCCTTGTGTCAACTATATTCTATTAGCTAAATGACAAAGAAACAACCTGAAGGAAAATTAGAAAATACAAAATATCAAAAGTTTTTAACTAAAAAAAAAGTAGAGAAAGTGTTGCATAAAAGTTAGAAAGAGCACCTTGATAAAGGTGTTGTCTTGTCATGCCTCATATGTGCGACTAAATCCCCAAATGCAAATCGTGCATTATATACTTGCATAGGGAGTTTATTGATTTACACAACTAATTACCTTTGTCTAAGAAGTCTTATTTTATGTGGGGCCTATCCTCCTGTTGTTTCTTAGATTTCTTTGAAATCATAGTCTTTCTCATATAACTTCATGAGGACATTAAACCTAAGGATTTTTTATTTTGAAGGAATAACTTGCCACTCATAAAGGCCTCTTATCTTGAATGTTATCTTCTATTCATCCCCAATTGAATGCGAACTTGATAATGGTCACTTTCAAGGTTAAACTTGGATTACACAATAGATCCTTCCATCTTTTCCAAGATGCCCTCAGGTCGTAGAATGGTGAAGTGGTACTTGACAGTGATTTTGTTAACAACATGGTTGTCCTCACACATATGCTTGCTTTCATTTTTTATGCGGGACTAATAATGAGAGTACATCACAAGGGCTAAGATTGTCTCTGATCAATTGCTATGCCAACAACTTGTAATAATTTGTGCTTTTTGGGCTTTATATGATAATGTGGTGGATTTGGAAGGCTGGTTCCTAGGATAAGACACTAAGATCTAGTGATTTTGAACAACACATAATGATGGTAGTTTGTTGGGCAGGTCTTCAATGTAAAGTTTTGAAAATTTCATCAACAATTTCTCAAATTTGGAGTCATGTGTGGATGTAAAATATGTGCTGGTTTGGTTACAAGTAACATTATCATACTGCCCTGCTTCTCTTCTATCACGAGTGAATGTAACTAGTTCGGTTACAAATAACATTGCCACTTCTTGACAAAGTATTCCTTCCGGATTTAGGTTTGACTCTGCAGAGATTGGTGATAGCACAATCTTCTTTTATTTTCCACAGGAAAGAGTTGCTATTATCCTTCCCTTTGACAATCTCTGCATGATATATGGACCAATAGATAAGGGAATTTGACACACCTTAGTAACTTGTGTTTTAGAGCCCTTCTTGATCCAACCTATTTGTTATGGGCGAGAATGATTTTTAGTAGGAAAGTTGAGAGCTCTAACATGAGATTTGAAAACTATATATGATCCTTGGAGTTCTTGCCGAAGTTAGTGATGTGATGAATTGGATGCAGAAGTTTATGAGTTATCTGATGAAGCCTTTTACCTGCATAGAAACTTCAGGTTGTATACAGGAGAAATAGAAACGCAAGGGAAAGGAAAATTGTACCGAACCAATTCATTTCATTCTCTTTTACTCTATATTACATCCACAAGCTAAGGCTATAAGGATTTATATGTAAGAGATGGTCAGAGATTAAGGGTGCAGATCACAAGAGCAGAAATCCAAAGGTAGCTGAAATAAAGTTCTGAGTATGTCTAGATGTAGTGGAGCAGGTCGAGTGGATCGGTGGGCCGAAATATCCATAACTGCAGTAACTTATCAAGTTTGCTTATCAGCCCCCCTCAAGTTGACTATGACAGATAGTGAAATTGTTAACTTATCATGAAGATGAGAGAAATGAGCAGCACTCAGAGATTTGGTGAACAAACCAACAGGTTGATCTTGAGATGCTATGCGATGAATAGAGATATGGTGTAATTTGATGCAATCTCTTATGAAATGAAAATTAATTTCTATATGTTTTGTTCTAGCATTAAATATTAGGTTGTTTGTCAAGGCTAGAGTCGAAACATTATCACAAAACAGTTTTGTCGGTTGAAAAAGAGGAACACCAAGTTCAGCTAGTAAGCGTCGAAACCATATAATATCACAAACTGTAGTAGACAAGGCACCATATTTTGCTTATGGGTGTAAACGAGTCGAGTATTTGCCTAATCGAGCTAAGCTCGTTTAGCTGTTACTGAGCTCGCTAAAAAATCATAGGCTCGAGCTTGTTTAGAAAGCTCAATCTTTTAGTTTTAAAGTAAAAAAAAATTAATTTTTCTTAAATTAAGTGGCTGAATTGGTAAATTTGGTTGGTAAGGGTCTAAGAACTGGTTTGTAATCAGTCATAGTAGCTTTATGCAAGATTTCAGCAGCATATTTTGCTTGTTTGAGGTGAAGGCCAGTTGGAGCATAAGTCACCTGCAGGCCAAGGAAGTAGTTGAGTTGTCCCAGATTTCGCATGCTGAATCGTGACTGTAGAGCCACTAACAGCTTGCCAATAGCTGGTTGATTATTGCCTGTGAGTAGTATATCATCTACGTACACAAGAATCTAAAGATGGACCGATCCTTGATGATAAAGTAAAAGAGAAGGATCGATAGAGCTGACTTAAAAGCCATATTGAAGCAAATAGGATGAAAATGGAATAAATCATTGTCGAGAGGCTTGTTTAAGCCCGTAGATTGCTTTCTTGAGTAAACACACATGATTAAGAAATTATAAATCCACAAAACATTGTAGCTGCATCATATAAATTGTGAGAAATTTGACAACCGGGCTAAGGTGTCATGATAGTCCGAACCAAACTCTTACTTAAAGCCTCGAGCAACTAAACCTGTCTTGCAGTGAGTAATGGAGCTATCATATTGAAATTTTGTTTTAAATAATCATTTGTATCCCAAAACATTTATTCTCAGAGTAGAAGGAACCAAAACCTAAGTTCCCTGTTTTTTAAGGGCTTCAAATTCAATACATATTAGCTCTCCAAACAAGAGATTTAATGGCTTGAGTACTCAACAAGAGGGGTTGGTAGGAATAATTGTAGGTTGGAGATCAAAGATAAGCTGTAACAACTCGAAAATGTGAAAAGTAAATATTTGAAATTTTATAAGGTTAAAATTCAAAATTGTGTTTTTAATTCATTTGCATGTATTTGGAAGTGTTTTTAATGTTTTAAAATGGTTTTGTGTGCTCTAGAATGAGTTTTAAGGGTTTGGAGCGAATTTTGACATATATATATATATATATATATATATATATATATATAATATATTACTATTTAAGGGCCTTCGCACTGCTACAATACCAAACGCCAAATAGTGACATTGCAACGCTCCAATCTCTGTATTTTGGAAAAATGAAATAGCGCCGCAACGTTAGGTGGTAGTGCTCAATGCTAAGCCATTATTTAAATTTTTATATATTTTAAAATCCATTATCCTGATTCATTTGAATGCCGAGCCAGTCGAAGTAGAGAGAGAGGAGAGGATTTTTAGAGAGAGAAACTCTGATTTGAGCTGCTTCGGGTTGTTTTCAGTCGTCAATCTAGTTGAGAAAGTTTTCTGAATCGATGTATGCTACATTATTCATATTCCTGTTTTAAAAAATTTGATGTTTCTAGATTTCTCCTATTAATTTTTTATTTTTATTACCAAAAAACATGGATAATTTTGTACTGATAAAACTTTCATCGCATAACTTTTTATATGTTATTGAAATCGAGGTTCCAAATGTTTTGATTATTTTCTGAAAATTTTAGACCTGATATTTTGAAATTTTTGTGGTTTTAATTGAATAGAAAATAATCTTGACTTTGAAAAATAATGCTTTAGTACGATTAAAGTCTAGAAATGATGTTTTACACCATCTTTAATAAGTAGTTATGTTTGAAATGATGCATTTTTTTCATTAGATATTCTATTCAAGTATATTGTTAATATAAAAATTGGGGATGAAAATGAATATATGATTAGGATAATAGTTTGTTGCTATTACTTTTATTGCAAAACAGATTTGCAAATATGAACATATTCTTCTGCTGTAGTTATGCTGCCTGATTCTGTTTCCATTATTTTTTCATCCTTTCACAATGCAATTCATGTTTGATGGAGTCTTATTTTATTCATTTTGAATTACATGGATCACCTCAGAATTCAAACTTCAAATATTGAATATTTTTGTCTTGTTATTGGCTGATTTTTTCTAGGGGTGTCAATTCGGATCGGGTTCGGGTCGAACCCAACACTATTCAGTTCAACCCGAACCCGACCCTATTCGGGTCCGGGTCAAACCGACCCGACATGAATGACCTGAAGTTGACCTAAAATTGCTAGTTTTTGGGTCAAAAATCGGGTCAGTTTTCAATTTTCGGGCCAAAATCGGATAAAAAAACGGGTCAATCTCTGGTTTCCGAGTCAAATAGGAGTTTTCGTGTCAATTTCGGGTCATTTTCAGGTTGTTGGGTCAACTCGAACCCGACCCGATATTTAAAACGGGTTGATTTATTGAACCCAACCCGTTTTGAGACCGGGTTAAACGTGTTGGGTTGACCCTAACCCAAATTTTTTCGGGTCGTGTCAAAAATTGACACCCCTAATTTTTTCATTCAACTTTTTTAAAATCTGTTTATTTAAACTTAGAAGTAGCCAATATTAGATTGTTGGCATCCTCCTAGCTCTGGATGGCTGGCTTTTTGTTGATCTACAATTTTATCTTACTAGTTTTTGTTAAAAATTACAAAAATTGATTGTGAATTAGATAAATTTACACTTTAAATTTCAGCATTACATGGAAAGTTATAATCAAATAATAAAAAGAAAATGCATTGCAAGCAAAAATAAAAGCTTTTTCTAATATGAATACTGAAAATTAGATAAGTTAAAAGACTTTGAAAATATAATCATAATATCAAGTCTTTATCCCACTACATTGAATCAATTACATGAATCTTTTTTCTCCATTGTTTTCTATTAACAATCAAATTCTCTGTTAAATTTAATAAAAAAAAGTATTTATAATATTTTTTTTAGTCAAGTTTTTTATTTAAAGCCTAAATTGAAATAAAACTTAAATTTACCTTGATGATAATATATATTTTTATCTTTAACTAGTGAGTGAATTTTTAATATTTAATCATAAATTCATTACTTTAAATTCAAAACCTTATGATTGGCATCAAAGCATTTAACCAATGGGTAAAGTTGAGTTATGTGATAATATAATTTTAATAAATATATATATTTTACAATAAAAATAAAATAAATTAATAATATTTTAATTATAAAAGTTGTAATTTTATATTTTTTTTTTGCAAAAACAAAAACAAATATGACAATAAAGATTTTCATAAAGATAAAACAAAATTGCAATGAAATAAAAATATTTTCTAATCAAAATTATAAAAATACTACAACTTATCTTTATCCTAGTATGTGAATTGGTTTACTATATGAATTATTTTTCTCCTTTGTATTTTATTAAGAATTAAAATATTATTTTAATTTAATTAAAATATTATTTTTAATATTTTCTAATCAAATGTTTTAAATCTACCTCCCTCTATTTTTCCTAATATAGATCAAATTTAATATTTTTTCTCTTAATTGAATCATTAAAAATCGTATTATGTGACTGGAGTCACTTAGGTTTTCTTTGAGACGGTTTACTTATTATTTCTTGAAAAAAAATTAATTTTTTTTTTTAAAAATAATAAAAAAGCCATCTCAATCAAAGACTAAATTATGTAAGTTGACTCTCTATGATCTTAAAAAAATACAATTTTATGAAAAAAAAAAAAACTAAAAATTCAGTATTCACTCCTAATCTTCTGGAATTCCCAATGACCGTTGGCATCGTCTTTCCCTTTTCCCGCGTACAGCAAGCTCTCGTACCTTCCCTTCCATCAACGGCGGATGCCGTCTCTCAGAAAACTCAACGGCTCTGATCCTCTAATAACCGCTACGGAACGCTTCCCGGTACCGACACGATACGCGGCATGTTCCCCAATCCGTCTCCGTTTCGGTGCAGGGTCGCCGTCCCGCGACCCACTCTCTCTCTCTCTCTCTCTCCTCCTCCTTTCTCTGCCTCTGAGAATACGTCTTCTCTCTCCTCCTTCTTCTTCACAATTTGCCAATTTTCCATCTCATCTTTTTATTTATTTCCTCTCTCGTCCGCTTGCTTATCTCCTCCATATCCTTTTCGTCTACCCCGAAGCCGAACCTTCAACCCTCGATCGGACGACACACGGACGTCCACGTCGTCTTCGTCGTCTTCGTTGCCCGCTCCATGCTCCTATTTAACGCTAGCTGAAACTCTAACCCTAACGCTCTCTCTTTCCGCATCTTGAACTCCGCCTCCACAGATCTCTCTACGGTATGTCTCATCTCCGATTTCCGCTCTCTTTCTCCTCCTCTAGGGTTTCACACTTCCCCTTTTGTTCTCTTTTATTATTCTTCTTTTTTGGGTTTTTCAACTCTGTAGGAGCGATTGGTTTGTTCATGGGCCATGGTAATCGTCGAGAACAGTTACAAGGATTCAATCCTGAACGGCGATATGTCCGCGTGCACGGTTTCGTTCGAGGACCAAAACGAGAGCTCTACGTCGCTGGAGTTTGCTGGCGGTAGCGTATCTTGCGATGGCGCATCCGATGTGGATTCCGGCATGGCTTCTGACGAGTTCGATTTACTGGAGCTTGGGGAGCCCGGGACGGAGCTTTGCCAGGTTGGGAACCAGAGCTTTATCTTCCCGCAGGAGCTCTACGACCTTCCGAATCTTGGCTTGGTTATTTCGCTCAAAACATGGAATCAGAGCCTAACTGAGGAGGAGCGGTTCGCGTTAGCGGAATACTTACCCGACATGGACCAGGAAAACTTTGTCCTAACACTCAACGAACTTTTTTCTGGGAGTAATTTCCACTTTGGTAGGCCGCTTGAGGCCTTCTTTAATCAGTTGAAGGGTGGGCTCTGTAATCCAACGGTCGTTGCTTATCGCAGGGGCTTGAATATCTTCCAGCGACACCAGCACTATCATCAGTTATGCGAGTATCAGAATTCCATGGTGGGGAACCTTGTTCATATAAGGGATATGTGGCAGAACTGCTCTGGGTATGGAATTGAAGAGAGGCTGCGATTTCTGAACATTCTGAGGAACGAGAGGAATTTGGGTTATGATAGGAATGGAGATTTGGGTTCCGAGACAGATTGTGGAAGTATTGATTCTAATGAAGCTTACTGGAGTAGAAGGCTCAGTAAGGGGCATCAGGAGATGCATTCATCGAGGAAAGCTTCTTTTGATGCTTTTACTCAGAGGAGCAGATTGGCCGTGCAGCCAGTAAGGTCTGGGAAGGCTAAGGTGAAGGGAATATTGAAGTTGGCTGCTGCAAAGGTTCCTGCAAAGAAAGAATACGCACGAGCTCCAGGTAACTTCTACTGGTTTATGGTTGTTATTCTGAGAAGAAAGTTAAACCGCCCAATTTATGATTGGTGTTCATCAACAAAGTTTTTTTTCAGGGTTTGATTTGTCCGAGGTCCGAAGGAGTGTTCCTGATGACAATTATTTTGAGGATCCAGGTTATGGAATGGCTGGGCGAAGTGTTCGTGGAACCACGGCTGCCAAGTCAGGCTCTTTGAAATTTAAAAGAAAGGGCATTGTAAAGAGGTATGCCCAAGATATGCCAAGTGATTTTGGTGTGGAAGATGTTGATGAGCATGTTGGGAATTCTAGTTACCTTAACAACCGAAAGGAATCTGTTCAGGCACTTCCCAATCCCATTGCTTCTTATGATTACAAAACATTTAGTAGAATGACGAAAGTGAAGCAACCTAATGAGGACTGGAAATATCCTGCCAAAGAGCAACTTCGACATCAAGTGGCCAATGGATCTCAGTTTGACTCGTCCGATTCTAATAGATTAAATAAGCATGGAAAAGTATATGAAAAAGCCATTTGTACTATTGGTCCTCGCACATTCAATGGCTCAAAAATAAGAAAGAAATGGGAGGGTGAAGATGATTTCAGAATCAATAAAAGTAGTTTTGGCTCTAAAGTTAGTTCTTGTAAGGCTCCTCCAGCTGAATGGAGTGGCTCTCATTTTCACTCAGACTATGTAACCAAAAATTTGCAGGGTCAGCTTAGAAGGAAGTCTTCTGAACATGATGAAGCCGGTGTGGAATACTCAAGGCGCAGTCCTATTTATGATCAAAGTGAGGAGACACAATCTGATTCATCAGACAAGGTTGAGGCAGGTGGGGGCATGTATCCCTATGCATCCAAATCAGTGCATTCTAATGCAGCAATGGAGGTTCGTCAGTCTGTAGTTAAACTAGAAGATGATTTTAAATTGACAAGTAAACTGGCCAAATCCAGTAAACGAGTTTATCAAACAGCTGATGGAGACATGAATGGCAAACCACGGGAAATGGAACCTTACTCTCGTAATGTTAAGAAGAAAGGTAAATCAAATGACACCAATTACTTGGATAGTGGTAAATCAATAAGAAAGTCACGGTTGACACATTTTAGTGAAAAGTTGCAACCTGCTTCACTTGGTTGTGCTGCAGATAGAAAGCGGAAAGTAACAACTGATCATTCAAATGACATGTGCAACCACATAAGAGGCATTACAGACGAAGCTGAGGAGATTTTGGATTTAAATGCTGGATTAACCAATATGGAAAGGCAGAAAAACAGAGCTGAAAACAAGAATCAAATCTCAACTGATTTTGCTTTGGACGATGATACTCAGGAAAGTTTAAGCATGCCCATTCTGGCTTGTAATTCCCGTTCAAAGAAGAGGAAAGGAAAAAGTGGAGATGAATATCATGCTCAGTTAGATGAACCTTTTCATAGGCAATCTAGTCCAAAGAAGCAGATCGAAGGGTCATCTACTATGAAAAAGAAAGGGAAAAGGAAAGCTGATGCTGTAGTTGTTACTTCATCTGTTGCGACTCCTGAACCAATCATTCTTGAGAAGCGAGGGTCTGAGTTAGAGATGGATGTGAAGACACAGAAGAAACCATTCACTTTGATCACTCCAACCATTCATACAGGCTTTTCATTCTCTATTATACATCTCCTTTCAGCTGTCCGGAAGGCTTTAACCACTGCACAGATGGAAGATCCTGAAGATATTGGTAATCACCTTGGGAAGGATGTAAGCATGCTTGCTAATGGAGGAGGGCAGAAATTTTTTCTTCATATGGCCAATGACACATATATGTCTCGATCTATTGATAACTTGGATGGCATCATTCAGAGTAATTTACCATCTCTCAGAGTCCAGGAGATTGTCCATAGAGTTAAGTCAAACCCTGGGGATCCTTGCATCCTTGAAACTTCAGAACCACTCCAAGATTTGGTCAGGGGAGTGCTGAAGATATTTTCATCTAAGACAGCACCGTTGGGAGCCAAGGGCTGGAAGGCACTCGTCCTGTATGAGAAATCAGCTAAAAGCTGGTCTTGGGTTGGTCCAGTTTCTTCTACTAATTCTGATGACAACGACAATACCGAAGATGAAACCTCTGCAGAGGCATGGGGCATTCCACACAAAATGCTGGTCAAATTGGTCGATGCCTTCGCTAATTGGCTCAAAAATGGTCAAGAAACCCTTCAACAAATAGGAAGTCTTCCTGCACCACCTGCAATGTTAGCTGTTGTGGATTATAAGGACAGGTTTAGAGATCTCAGAGCCCAGAAGAGCCTGAACACTATCAGCTCAAGTTCTGAAGAAGCGAGAGCTTATTTTCATAGGGAGGAGCTCTTGAGATACTCAATCCCAGACAGGGCCTTCCAATACACTGCTCACGACGGAAGAAAGACCATTGTAGCACCACTAAGGAGGTGCGGTGGCAAACCAACATCAAAAGCCCGTGATCATTATATGCTCAAGCCCGATCGTCCTCCGCACGTCACTGTTCTTTGCCTTGTCAGAGATGCCGCTGCGAGGTTGCCTGGAGGTATAGGCACCAGAGCAGATGTTTGCACTCTAATAAGAGATTCGCAGTATATTGTTGAAGATGTCACTGATGCACAAGTTAACCAAGTTATCAGTGGGGCTTTAGATAGGTTGCATTATGAGCGTGACCCTTGTGTACAGTTTGATGGAGAAAGAAAATTGTGGGTTTATCTGCATGGGGATCGCGAGGAGGAAGATTTTGAAGATGATGGTACTTCATCCACAAAGAAATGGAAAAGACAGAGGAAAGATCCTACAGATCCTTCCGAAGTAGAAACTGCTAATGATTCTCATTATCTTTCAACTGGTGAACCAGCAGCTGGTTTTTCTTCTGCCTGTGAATTCAATTCCGATCTTAACATGGATGACAATGGTGAGCTTGTTTTTAATGATTTGAGCTCTAACAGAGAGAATGTTCAATCTTATGTTAGCCCTACACGTTTTGAGAGAGGTTCGAGTAATCCCTTGCAGGAAAGCAAAATGCTTTGTCAAGAGAACTTAACAAATCAGGATTTTGATGATGAAGCTTTCAGCAGAGAAAGGCCAGTTGGGCTTTTGAGTGCAGGTTTATTTTAAAGAATATGTGATCATAGTCTCAATCCTTGTGTTTATATTGTAGGATCGATGAAGTTAATAATCGGAATTGAATGAAGTGTTTAATTCCTCTACTGCTGCGACACTGGTAATTTTCCTTGTTTTTTTTGCTTATTTTCATATTAGTTTCATCTGCAGGGGAAATATGACGCCATGATTTTTGCTGTAATTGTGCTGCTTCTCAAGTTGTATATTATCTAGCGCATGAAACATCTCTGTACCAAAAACCTCTGTGAGTTAAGTGATTGCTCTCTAGCTAGCTTGCAATCAGTTCTGATATCATAGAAGAGATTGAGATATTTATTTTTTATTGTTGTTGTATTGATATTGTTGGATTTCAATCTGTAAAATATCAAAATCTTTTTAACAAGTATGAAGTAAGTCAAATAAAGAGATAAGAGAGGAAGTAAGAAGAAGTAGAGGAATTGAGGAATCAAAAAGATTTTTTTATGAGTTTGATATTAATTTGATCTTTCATAATGAAAAATTAATGGTTCATTTTGATCTTTTTCTCATTTTATATCAAATATTTATATATTTTTTTATTTAATTCAGATAAGAGGCCATTCTTGCTCTCTTTGATTATATCTTAAGGTTAGATGACAACACTCTTGAAGTAAATATTTAATAGGTTAAAAATAATATATTATTATGTGTAATAAAAAGGAGGGGATAATATCATCTAAGCGTGTTATTATTTGATAAAAATAAATAAAACTTACAAAGAAATCTGTTGTAGTTTAGTTGGTTAGGATACTCAGCTCTAGGGGTGTAAGCGAGTCAAGCCAACTCGTGAGTCAGCTTGAACTTTGCTCGATAATGAGCTCGTACAATATACGAATTCGATTTCGAGCTGAACTCCACTTGACTCGAAGACTCGTCGAGTGGCTAGATTGATTAAATACGTCAATCCAACGGACTGCAGTCATTCCAAAGTCCGCTACCAAGCCTCCGATATAGTTTCTCGCCTTGATGCCCTCGCTCTTTTCTGCGATTCATTGCTCCAAGTAGTAATTGCCCTAAAGCTTAGTAAATTCTTGTCCAGCATTATTTTCTTCGTTTGGATTAAAAAAAAAAAAAATTGAACTCTCTATGACTTTACGTAGTTCTATTCTACGATTCTCCTCTATTATCTCACTCTGGTCATCTGGAGCTTTGCTGTTGCTGCCTTCCATTTCTTCTAGTTGCTATTTGATTTTATATTTTTTGAGGTCTGCTGAGGTTCTATTTTTTTTGCATTTGACAATGATGTTGTTCCATTAATAAGCAGTACTTCTCTCCTTGCATGGTCGATTGACAACCAGCGAAGTGAGGTGGTATGGTAGTTATTGTCGGTTCTCCCCCGAGTCTCCTCTCTTTTCGATCCAGGTTCAATATGCTATTAGATATTCTATTTTTTAAGCTATGGTGTTTTGCTATCACTAACTTGAACATACATCCACGAACTTAAATACTTGATTTATTGCCTTGTTGTTGTTGTCGCTGCCTTTCGATTTTCAATTCTAATTTATGTTGCCGTTGTGTTTCCTAAATTTTAGTATTTCATTTTAATCAAAACATTTCATATTATTACATTTTCATCCTTGTATACAAATGATAATTATTTAATATCGTATTTATGTATTTAGTTTCATTAGCTTTTTAAAAATCCATATTTTATAAAATTTTGCTGTAAAACATTGCTATATAATATTTTAAGACATTAATATTCCTGTTATAGACATATCTAAATTTGATAATCATTCATAAATGGTCAACTTCAAATTGGCTCAGTCAGCTGGAACCTCACACGTAATTTTTCATTAATACCCCTCAATAAATCTAATATTAAAATCAAAATTGCATTCAAACATCAGCAGTAATATCAAATTTCAAAAATTCTTATCATCTATCATTTTATGAATTCAAAAAAACTCTCACTTGCAAGAGGATTGAATTTTCCATCTTCTTATTGGGACATCTCTTCTCTTTTTTTACTTTTTTTTTTTTCTTACAAAGATGACAATTTATTAAGACAAAAAATATCTCAAATGAAATAAATATTTTATTTAGAAAAACAATTGATTTTATTATTTTTCTTATGAAATATCTTATTTGTAATGTTATCTATTCTGAAAATGATAAAAGGAGTAAGCTATAAACTCATAATTTTAAAATTATTTCACATCAACTATCAATGAAATCTCACACCATTTTTTATTTGAATCTAACATAATAAAAAATAATACTAAAATGCCTTCATCTATAAAAATAAAAATAAAAATAAAAATAAAATCATTTTTTATCATAAAATAATTACTATAAAAATATACATATATATACGTATACACTATATATAACCTAATAATTGATGTTAAAAATATAAAATAATGAGCAGTAGATATGATTGATAGAGAACTTTTTACCATATTTGAGTTTGTCTCCACTTACAAAAAAGTTAATATTTGAGATTATGGCTTCGTTTAAGACGACTTTTTTATTGCTTTTTAAAGCAGTTTTTTATATAAAATTTTTGTACTAAAAAAGTTGTTTTAAGAAACATAAAGAAAACCATCCAAAACGATGGAGAAATTATTCTGTGCGGTCACCGAAAGGTCTAGAGACGAATTAGTATGCGCCACATCATCTGATACCGAGTGGTACACAACAAAAAAATGACGTGAATCATTTTGATTGGCCTTTGAATGACGTTTAGTAACCGCATAGAATAATTTCACCAAACGAAGCCTATACATAAAATCCAGAAAAATGGTTCTTGCAGCTAACCCTACATATTGCAATAAAGGATTCATATTGTTCTTGTTGTTGATGTACTTATTTATTTGAAATATTTATAACACAAATAATAATTAACATGCAATAAAAATAAAAAATATATTTATTTATTTAATAATTTAATGCAATTGTTGTCGGATTTTAAGGCTTCATTTGGGACATTTTTTTGCTGTTTTCTAAAACAGTTTTTTAATACAAAAATTTTGTGAATTAAAAATTTTGTATTGAAAAGTTATTTAGAAAGCAGCAAAAAAGCTGTAACAAACCAAACTTAGTCTTGATTGAGAAAAATGAAAAATTATACTTGTTGCGTCCTAGAGTATTCGCGGCGGCAGAGAAATATATATTTTAATGTCTTAGCATTGTAAGATCCAGCGCACAAGCAGATAAGAGAGAGAGTGTAGCATTTATAAGAGACACCGGAGTTTTTACGTGGAAACCCCTAAAAAGGGGCAAAAACCACGGAGCCTGACTCAGTTTGAATGAATCCACTAGTATTTGCGGTAAATTACAAATGAGGCATTTCTTAAGGAGAAGGCCTTGGCTTGATGGTACAAATGTACATCATATAGAGTGCATTACATGTTGGGCGTTACAATAATCAATATGGACATATTTGTTTGGTTGGAAGGGCCATAGTCGACACGAGACAGGGTTCCAAAAGATCTTAATAGGCAGAAGACCCAGGTTAGAAAGACCGTTGTCTGGTGATGGAGGTCGAAAGGACCATAGTAGGCGACATAGGTCAGAAGGATCGTAGTCGGCAGGATATCGGGGTCTGAAAGACCGTCATCTGTTGATGGAGATCGGAATGACCATAGTAGGCGACGGAGGTCGGAAGGACCGTAGTCGACAGGAGACTGGGGTTTGAAAGACCATAGTTGTAGCTAGAGCAGCACTCCGGTAAAACTTTGGGCATAATGTAGTGGTTCGACAGAAGTCGGGGCCTTAAGTGGTGGTTCGAGAGAAGTCCGGACCTCAAGTGGTAGTTTGGCAGAAGTCCGGGACTCAGGTGGTGGTCCCGCGAAGCAATGACGTTAGGTGGTGGTCCAGCGGATGTAAGGGCCTCAAGTGGTGATATGGTGAAGCTTAGGGCCTCAGGTGGTGGTATGGAAGAGCAACGACGTCAGATGGTGGTTCGACGGAAGTGAGGGCCTCAAGTTGTGGTCCGGCGGAGCTCAGGGCCTCAAGTGGTGGTCCGGCGAAGCAACGACGTCAAGCGGTGGTCTGGCGGAGGTGAGGGCCTCAAGTGATAGTCCAGCAAAGCTCAGGGCCTCAAGTGGTGGTCCGGTGGAGATCAGGGCCTCAGGTGGTGGTCTGGCGGAGCTCAGGGCCTTAGGTGGTGGACCGGCGAAGGCGATGGTCTCAAGTGGTGGTCCGGCGAAACTCCGGCGGTGGTCGAGGAGGAGCTTCTTCTTTCTCTTCTCTACTTCTTTTCTTGCTTCCCTCCCCCTTCAAGAGAAATGTGGGGTCTATTTATAGATTTCTGGAGTGGCATGGCCCGTAAATAGGTGAGAAATCAAGGGTAAATGTGGAGTGGTTGGATGGACGGCCGATATTGAATCCCTTGATCATGCATCGTTTGTCAGACATTTGAAGGCCTTAATATGTCAGAATTCAGCGATCTTGGGCTCGTTGGATTCGTCTTGTCGAGCCGCTCGATTCGATTATAAGCATGTCATGTTTAAAACCGTTTGCTAACCCAAATTGTGGTTCGAACCTTCCAACAATGCTTCTGGTCCTTTATTTGGACTTATTTGAGCTCGGATTAAGTCGAATTTGGTGTTGTTGGGTTTGTATTTCCGAGACGCTCAGTTTGATTATAGGTTTGCTGAAATCAGAGTTAGGATGGTCCCAATTTTAATTTCCGAATTTTCCAACTAGATTTTGCATCGAGATTCGTGCCCAATCAACATAAAGTTTTGAGGACGTATCAATACTTAGTAATCATCGTAAAATTTGTCCAAAAAATTATGATATATAATGAAGAAGGAACAAACGTAGCGATGAAAAATCTCCGCTGTAGATCACTCTTTATAGACGATAAATGCGTATAACTAAGGTGAAGAGGTGAACAGAGGGTAGATCTGCAAATAATCCAAAAGATGAGTAAAATTTATAAATTTGATGTAGATGAGGGTACCAATTGGCGCGGCACGTAAGAATATTCTAAGATTGGCGGCATTGACACTTTTATTAGAAAATTATTATATTTTATAATTTTTAATTTTTAAATCCGTTAAAATTAGTTGAACATTAATTATTTATATTTAAATTTTATAGCAATATTCAAATAAGATTTTTTTTCTTTAATTATTTTTATTTTCTATTTTTCATTAAAAAATTTAGCATACATATTTATTTTAATTTTAAGTTAATTAAAAAGATAATTATTATATTATCTTGAGCTTTGATCAGAATATATCAATTAAATTTTAGTCAAAATATTTCTCAAAATTATTAAATATATTTTGAGATGAGTACAATAAATTTAAAATTAAATAAATTTTTATTACACTTATTTTAAAATAAATTATTTATTTTATGATTCATTGATCAAAATTTAATTAGAAATATTTTGAATAAAAAATTTTCCAATGTTCTTATTTGGATATAACTTGAAGAAATTATATATATATATATATATATATATATATAAAGAATTTAATAATTTTTTATAGAAAATTCTTTAATTTGAGAATTGAGAAGGAAAATCGGATCACATCGAATTTGATTATTATTGGTTTATATAAAATAAAAATTAATTAATTATTCATATTTCAAATAAATAAAAAAAATAAAAAGAATGGCAAATAAAACAGGCCAATATCAATTAACAAAAAATAGCTTTCCACAGCTTATCATTTTTAAATATTGTGAAACATTGGCTGAATTTCATTTATTAGAAATTAATAGTAACTTTCCATTTGTGCTCAAATAAATAAATAAATAAATAAAATGGCAACTGGGCTTTTTCTTAAATTGGCAAAGAAAAATAAGCACAAATGGAAAGTAACTATTAATATATAATAAATGAAATTCAGCGAATATTTCCCAATATTTAAAAATGATAAGCTGTCGAAAGCTATTTGCGTTATAGATATTGGCCTGTTTTATTTGACTATTTGCCCAAAACAAAGAAATGAATTACTGCTTTCCCACCGGCGCTATCAATCTACGTCAGACTATAATAAAAATAGGACTCCTCAGCATGAGATGGGACAAATACTATTTTAATAAATTATGAAATAAATGTATTAAATGATATATATCATACTTTTTTTTGACAAATTTTATGATGATTACTAAGTATAATTTTTCATTTTTTTCAATCAAGATTTAAGTTTTGTTTGTGATTGTTTTTTTACTGATTTCTAAAACAGTTTTTTAATACAAAATTTTTAATTTATAAAATTTTTGTATTAAAAAACTATTTTAAAAAACGGCAAAAAAACTATGCCAAATAAAGTCTTAAAATCTGCCAACAATTGAATTAAATTATGAAATAAATATATATTTTCTACTTTTTTATTGCATGTTAATTATTATTTGTGTTATAAATATTTCAAATAAATAAATACATCAACAACAAGAACAATATGACGTGGAGGTAAAAGAAGATGATTTGGTTTGATGCTAATTTTTTTGCGGATTTGCCGGTGGGTTGTTGCAGGGCGATGATGTGGCTGGGGCTCCCCTCCTCGTTGATTTCCTTGTGGCAACCGTCGGTGCTTCGTTATCTTCTGGATGGTCCTTGCGAGGTCTCGAGGATGATGGCTGTTCTGGCTGATTGCTGAGCCCTTTTTGGATTGTTTTTATCCTTTTTTTTTTCTGTTTTGGTTTTTTAAGCTCATAGGTTTAATTATTATTTGTTGTTAGTTTTGTGAGCTTATGTTTTGTGTGACTTTGTAACCATCCTTTTGTTAATGACATTTTCTTTAAAAAAAAAAAAAAAAAAAAAAAAGAAAACCGTCTTAAACAAAGGCGAATTTGTTCTTTGCGGTCACCGAACTGTGCAGAGGCGAATCAGAATGCGCCATGTCATCTGATGTCGAGTGGTACACAATAAAAAAAATAATGTGATGCGTTGTAATTCGCCTCTGGATGTTATTCAGTGATCGCATAAATTGTAGAATAATTTCACCAAATGAAGCCTATACATACAATCCAGGAAAATGGTTCGTATAGCCAACCCTACTTATATTGCAATAAAGGTTTCATATTGTTCTTGTTGTTGATGTATTTATTTATTTGAAATATTTATAACACAAATAATAATTAACATGCAATAAAAAAGTAGAAAATATATATTTATTTCATAATTTAATTCAATTGTTGGCAGATTTTAAGACTTTATTTGGCATAGTTTTTTTGCCGTTTTTTAAAATAGTTTTTTAATACAAAAATTTTATAAATTAAAAATTTTGTATTAAAAAACTGTTTTAGAAATCAGTAAAAAAACAATCACAAACAAAACTTAAATCTTGATTGAAAAAAATGAAAAATTATACTTAGTAATCATCATAAAATTTGTCAAAAAAAAGTATGATATATATCATTTAATACATTTATTTCATAATTTATTAAAATAGTATTTGTCCCATCTCATGCTGAGGAGTCCTATTTTTATTATAGTCTGACGTAGATTGATAGCGCCGGTGGGAAAGCAGTAATTCATTTCTTTGTTTTGGGCAAATAGTCAAATAAAACAGGCCAATATCTATAACGCAAATAGCTTTCGACAGCTTATCATTTTTAAATATTGGGAAATATTCGCTGAATTTCATTTATTATATATTAATAGTTACTTTCCATTTGTGCTTATTTTTCTTTGCCAATTTAAGAAAAAGCCCAGTTGCCATTTTATTTATTTATTTATTTATTTGAGCACAAATGGAAAGTTACTATTAATTTCTAATAAATGAAATTCAGCCAATGTTTCACAATATTTAAAAATGATAAGCTGTGGAAAGCTATTTTTTGTTAATTGATATTGGCCTGTTTTATTTGCCATTCTTTTTATTTTTTTTATTTATTTGAAATATGAATAATTAATTAATTTTTATTTTATATAAACCAATAATAATCAAATTCGATGTGATCCGATTTTCCTTCTCAATTCTCAAATTAAAGAATTTTCTATAAAAAATTATTAAATTCTTTATATATATATATATATATAATTTCTTCAAGTTATATCCAAATAAGAACATTGGAAAATTTTTTATTCAAAATATTTCTAATTAAATTTTGATCAATGAATCATAAAATGATTAATTAATTTTAAAATAAGTGTAATAAAAATTTATTTAATTTTTTATTTATTATACTCTTCTCAAAATAAATTTAATGATTTTGAGAAATATTTTGATTAAAACTTTATTAATATATTCTGATCCAAGCTCAAGCTAATATAATAATTATCTATTTAATTAACTTAAAATTTAAATAAATATGTATGCTAAATTTTTTAATGTAAAATGGAAAATAAACATAAATAAAGATAAAATTCTTATTTGAATATTGATATAAAATTTAAATATAAATAATTAATATTAAACTAATTTTAACGGATTTAAAATATTCAAAATCATAAAATATAATAATTTTCTAATAAAAGATGTCAATGCCGTCAATCTTAGAATTTTCTTCCGTGCCGTGCCAATTGGTATCCCCCTCTCCATCAAATTTATAATTTTTCCTCTTCTTTTGGATTATTTGCAAATCTACCCTCTGTTCACCTCCTCACCGTACCTATAACGCATTTATCGTCTATAAAGAGTGATCTACAGAAGAGATTTTTCATCGCTACGTTTGTTCCTTCTTGCACAGGTGAGAAGAAAAACCCTAATCTTGGAATCTTCTACTTTTAGCATTTTTTTTATTTCTTTTCTTACGAAAATTCTATTGTGTTGATTGATTTGACATTGCTCAATCGATTTGTAATGGCGGATTTCGGAAGATTTGTTAGGATCGCGGGATAAAATACGAGTTAGTATCTGTTTGTCGCTGATTGTTTTTTATCAACAATCAGCGACAAACAGAAACTAAGTACTCGTATTTTATCCCGCTACCAGTGGGTGAAAAAAGCCTTTTTGATTGATAAAGGCTTTATCTTCTCCTTTTTGCTAGAATTTCTTTTATGTTACCCTTTTGATGATTCTTCTTTACGCTTTTCAGTTCCCAGCCGCTGACCGTAGAGATGTCAATGGGTTCTTTTGGAATCTTAGTTTTTTTTAGCATATTAGGGGGAATTCTGGAGGTCTGGATTTGAACCATGAATTGGGATGTATTGGATTGATATTATTGGTGATTTTTTTGAACGCATGATTTTCCTACAGTTTTGTTTCAGTCAAAATTAAAGGGGGTATTTGGTGCCATATTTTTGGCAGGATTGAAGCAAGATTTAGCTTAAATCCTTCCAAATAGATTTTTGGAGATTTTCCTACTTTTTTGAAAATTTTGTTTAAGCGCTGCTATTAGTTAAATTCATAATTTGTTAAATCCCATCATTTACAGGATTTAACGAATTTAAGGATTCCCCTTTCTCATAAATCTTAAATCATAAGCCAAATAGCCAGACTATTTATCAAATTTTTGCAAGATTTAACGGTTGTGATGCCCAATAGTTTTCTAAGTTTTTATTCTCTCAAGCTTTACTTAATCTGTATTTACAGAATTTACTAAATCCTGTTTGAGTTAAATCTTCATTGTAGCCAAACAGCCCCCAATAATTATATCCTTATGTTCTCATATGTTATTGGTTTTTATTTTTATTTTTCATTCTTGTTGCAGGACTGGTTGTAGTCATTTTTTGAAACAATGGCAAATCAGACTACAAATATTGCACTTGGGACTGCATTTTTTGGTGTGTTGGCCTTTATTTTTGGTGTGGTTGCTGAAAATAAAAAGGTACATTGTGATTTTCAATGTGTAGTTGCTGGAATCTCTTGTTTGATCAAATAGTATGTTATTGTCTGCCTTATCTTTAATATATTCCTCTTAAAATTAGCTTTTAGTCTCAGTTTTCTTACAATTTAGTTGGAACTTAGGGTTCATTTGAGGTGACTATAGCTATTTAGAAAAAAAAATGTCTTATTGTTATGAGAAGGTAACTGCTTTTTAAATGTTATTTTGAGTATTATAGACTTTTATCTTTTTGAAAAGTCTAGTACCAGCTTCTTTCAACTGTCGCACCCTAATAATTCTACTTTCAAAAAATGATTTCTCATCAAAAAAATTTTCAAAAAAAGAAACAAGAAGTTGTAGCTGAATAAAAGTATGGCTGTTGTCTAGGAAGCAAAATTGTAGAAAAGCTACCCCAAAAGGACTTTTAGAAACTTCATACTACACATTTGCATAATTTTCATTACATGTGTTTAAGATGGTTGGCTTTTGTTCTCAGTGACAATTGGTTTTCTCTGAAGTTTTTTATTTTCAATCATTGTAACAGCCTGCTCAGGGAACTCCAATTCTGATGAAAGGTTATGTTATGTGCAAATTTCCAAGTGATCCAACAGTTGCATTAGGAAGCTTATCTATTGTGGCGCTTGCGATATCTGCTGCTATTGGGCTGTTTTCTGTGTTCTTCCCCTATAAAGGAAAGTCTGTTCCGAAAGGCGCCCTTTTCCATGGGATGACAATGCGTGTGTTCTTCATCGTTGCAGTGTACGTATTCTACTTAAACTAGCAAATCGTATCTAATGTTTTCTGAATGTAAATTTTATCATTAGGGGCTTTTTCTGATGAGTAGTTTCAAAAATTTTATGAACTTTGATCAAGTGCTTATCATTGTCTGCGTTTGTTGCAAAGAATGAATTTTTGTTGCTCGTGCTCTTATTTCATGTATATTTGCCATGAGTAATTGTTAAATTGTCTCATAAGAACACCATTTATGCAGTTCCATCAACTTTGTTGCATCAAATAATCACTGATTATTTTCAATTGACTTTTTGGCCACCATTTTTAATTTCCTGATTTAGCATCTTTAAGCAACAGATGGAAACTGATGTAGAACTAGATAACAGCGCTTAAACAAAATTTTCAAAACAGTAGGAAAATCCCCAAAAATCTTTAACTGAGCTTAACAAATTATTAATTCACAATGAACTTAAGCAATGACTTCATCATGCAAGAGGGTAATCAAGTTCAAGCAATCAATCACAATCTAATAGGAGGACCGATAGATAATCAAATAAATTAATATCATGCTCACGTGATGTTTCAGAAACAATTCCCATATTAACAAATAGATTAGTGACTACAAAGACCCATTCAAACATCGCTCTTGGTGGGGGTTTAAGCGGAGCAGCTTTCACAATAAATCGATGTCATGATTGATGAAGGATCAAAAGGTGCAAGGGAGGGGGCATAGTTTAATTGCAAGGAAGAAGATACTAAGCCACGGCGAAGTCGTTTGGCTGCTTATGAGGGGGGGACGGCCAACACTAATTGATGGGAGTTGATTTAATGCTTTAATGGAGTTGCCAATTAAAGCATATTGGCTAAGGAAATAGGATTTAATTCATATTTCCAATCAATGCTCAAATTTGCGGATAGTCATATCCTTCCAAACATGGCCCAATAATTTAGGAACTGAATTCAAAACTTGTAGGAGAATTCAAATTTAAATTCATATTTCCTAAAATTAAGCTAGGCTAATTTAGGTAGGAAACTTAATGAGGATTTTTCATTTAAATTCAGATTTATGGATGGGAATATTTTTCCAAAAATAATTCAACAATTTAGGAAAGGAAGTCAAGATTCAAAGAGAATTCAAATTTGAATTAAGATTTCCTAAAATTAAGCTATGCTAATGTAGGAAGGAAACTTAATGAGGATTCTTCAGTTAAATTCAGATTTATGGATGGGGATACCTTTCCAAAAATATTCCAACAATTTGGGAAAGGAATTCAAGGCTCAAGGAGAATTCAAATTTGAATTCAGATTTCTAAGATCAGTTTAGGAAATGTTGGAGGATCTATTTGGAGAAAGAAAGTGGGTAGAAGAGGTCATGAAAGTTTCGGCTATGAGCAGAGGGGAGGCGACGGTTAGGAGGAAGAGAGGAATGGGTTGTGGTGGATCAGCCAAGGAGAGTTATGAGTGATGATGGCTCGGCTAGGCTGGGATGTGAGGATGTTGAGCTTAATGGGGAATGGAGGCGTCGATAAGCTGTGAACCCGGACGCTTCCTGCAACTGACAGGTCTTGTTTTGCCCTCACCTATGGACTTCACATGCGCTCTCACAAAAACTCTCAAACACATTAAAACACAAAGTGCAGAAATTTTCATTCATCATCATCATCATCCTTCCCAAGGGGGAGGGTGAGTACTATAAATAGACAGAAGACAATAAAACATCAAATGACAAAAGTGCCTAGGTGTAACGATTCGCTACTGCTCATAATAATTTTAATTAAGCTACAACCAACTGTGCATACTGTTCTTTTTAAGTAAACCAAATGCCATATTATGAACAGCATAATTTCTCAACCATTGTTGGAACTTCTCGTTTGTCTAACTTTGGGAAGTCATAACATTGTTGTTGTTATATTCTTCTGATTCATTGTTATGTGGAAACACCATCAGCCTGGTCTCCATTTTTGCTGAAGCAATGTTGCTGTGGGCGACCATAACCGAAGGCCTTCACCGCTCCCTCAACAAACACAATGACATGGACTATGCGTGCCCAACTGCCAAAACTGGACTTTTTGGTGGCGCTGGCTTCTTGGCTCTTGATGCCTCTCTCTTCTGGCTCGTCTCCCAGATGCTAACACTGAATGCCAGAGCTGATTACTTGGAAGAAGATGACCCCAAAGGATCTTATGGAGAGGTTCACACTACTGAGTATGATTCTAATACTGCAGCTCATCCATGATTCCGAACAATCACATTGAACACAAATATATTCATAGATATATGTCTTATTCAACTGCTTCAGGATGAGTGAATTCTGTTCATGTGGATATATATATATAGATACACTTTGGTTCTTGATTTGTTTGTGGATGGAAAATCCAGAAAATTTATGTTCCCTATCTGTCTTAAAGTAAAGCCGAAGGCGAGCTATTGCACTTAGTTTTCTGATTGGTTTTTTCTCTTCTTTTTTCATAGTGAAAGTGCATTCCATTAATGCAAAAAGTGAAGTGTTGGAGCTCAGCTCTGTTTAGGCCATTGTTTTTTATATGATGAGAGAAACTATTTGTCCTAAATGTTTATGTTAACCATTTTCATATTGATATAATATACTTAGGAGGAGCGTAAACCAGTTGTTGGGTTCAAATTTAACTTTGGTCTATCTTTTGAGCCGTGTGCGATCGAGCATAACTCTTTTAGTATTTTATGCTGAACTCTTTTTAGGTTTTCTTTTGAATAACTTTTTTATTATTTTCTGAAGTAGATTCTTATTAAAAAAAATTAATTTAAAATATTTTTTTATTAAAAAAGTTTTTTAAGTAGCGGAAGAAAAATCATCCTAAAGGAAGACTTAAAATAGACTGCAAAAAATGTTAGTAGATTTTTTTTTTGGAGTTGAGCAAATTTAATTATGATAATTAGAAAAGATTAATTAATGTTTTAAAATATTTAAATGATGAACTCAAGCCCATAATAACGATGCCATAAAACCTTTGGGCAAATAAGATTTTTTCATTTAAAAAAATTACAAATATTATTTTTTTTAATCTATTTTGCTTATGCATGCTCTACATTTTATTAGTTAAAAGATTATTTGTTTAAATATTTATGCTCATTTAAATAAAATGATAAAATTTTATTATATAAACGAATAAGCTTTATATATTTATATTTATGAATATATTCATTTATTACTTAACAAAGAACTCACAAAAACTCAATAAAATGCTCTCTTAAACGACAATTTAATTCCTTATCAAATGAGTTATTTTCTATCATTTTTTAATATCTTATACATCATAGAAATTATCTATATAATTAAAAAAATAAAAGAATAAATATCATAAAATTATTAAATAATTAATTAATATAAAGATTTAGAACTTCAATACCTAATTAATAATACCAATTTGGATTGACATTTATAAATCCAATTATATTTAATATTAAAAGTACATATTTAGCTGATCCAGTTGTGGCTCCATCAACGTAACGTTTCGGTCCCTGGAGATCAATTAATCATGATGCCGGCGCTAAGCTGAATAATAATTTACTACAAGTTTTTATCATAAAAAATTTCTACATTTAACAAGACTAATTATTCTACAAGGGAAGAAAAGAGGGTTCATAAATATCAAGATAATCACAAATATAATCTCCAGGCAGAAACCCTAAATAGATTGAAGAACAGAAGTTAACCAGATCTGAGAGAGATTTGATTTCCTACTCTTCAGAGTTGGATTTTTTAGCCAGACTCAACAGAACTGCAGAACTGATACAGGTGGCAACAATGCCGAGGGAAACCTCAGTTGTTATGTGATATCCTGAGGAAAAGAGAGATTATTGACACATAAATTACAGTTCACAAAAAATATCTAAAAGTAAAAGAATGTAAACTACCCACCAAAGAAATCAAAAATCATCTTCACTCCTATGAATCCCAACACGATACCTATTGCAGGCTGCAAAGAAGTAAACCTTTTTTTAGTGTCAATATGATGTACACGAAGATCTCATAAAAACCCCTTACCAAAATCATATCTGTAAGAGGTGGCATACAATATTAATGACAGAAAATTTAGAGCAGAATATCCTAATCTAAATGATGCTTAGTCCAGTTTAAAAGACGGTTCAAAAGTTCTATCTTACCTTCAATTAATAACATTTCTTTCGTATTCATTTCAAATGATTTTCATCTCCCAGTTTATTAGTAGATCGTGATCTCTATTGTAAATCTCCAACAACCTAAAAACCAATTTTATCCAACCTTATTCAACTATGTTCTGCTCAATCGAGTCTCATCGTTGAAGATTTCATTGCTGCGCAGTGCTTGTACTCATAACACAAGAAGCGGCCTACTTCCTGCTTTATAAAATTTATATTTAAGGCTTTGTTTCGGACGGCTTTTTTACAGCTTCTTAAAGCTGTTGTTTTAAGAAACAGGTAGAAAGCCGTCCCAAACAAAACCTAAGTCCATATGATATACTCTTTCAAATAGTTTCCTCAAGGCATTTCATTTTATCCACCTAGCTTAAAACGTAACCCATATACATATCTAATTCATCATATGACATATAGATATCTAATTCATCATATATCACTTAAAATTGAAATAGTTAATCATGCAAAAAATTGCATGAATCACCCCCATATCAAACTTCATCTTGTTTGGGCCTCATATCTCCCACTGAGTCCCACAACACTCTAAACCTTAAAAGATGCTTCATATGGTGTAAAATCTCCATCCTTCCACACATTCTTCAGGTTAAACTCAAATTCAAACAACTACAAATTTTTAAAATAATCTTTTATTGACGTAAACAATATATCATAGCTAAATCTTAATATAAATCATGTGATCAAAGTTTATAGATCCTTTACTTTGTCTCAGCTATTATAATAATTCGTTTTCTTCGTCCATAGTTTCCTCCTCTTCCAGTTATTTTTTAGCTTCTTTATAAGTACTATATATGTCTCAAAAGTGTGTTGTTTTGTCAAGTGTGTTGTTTTGTCATTATCTTCTTTGGCCAACTTTCCTAACTTCTTCTAGAATATCAATTTACTGCAATACACGCCCCCATCAATATTGTATTGGTTGCTTGGGTCATTCATCCACATTCCTTGTCAATCTCTTTTGTTTATGTTACCATTCTCATGCAGCATTCAGTAAAACATCGGATAATGCCCACAAAGCTGAATAGGTAGGGTAGTGATCTTATTGATCAGATGTTTCCAGTCACTACCTCCATAATCTGGCAAGGTTTAAGTTAACGGATTGAACAAATAGATAAAATGTTTATCTCCAAATAGAACTTTACTCATGTACAATAAAAAGTACAACTGGAATGAACAATGCAAACATGATGACTGATCAATTAACAAGTTAAGACTAGCTATTGGTAAACAAAATTGAAAGAAAGGATAATGTTTCACCTGTAAATATTCCAACTCCGACATACTTCCGGAAATCAGAGTATAAATAGACCTCAAACCTGCATGAAAGTGAATATATAACAGCCGAGAACTTAATTCAAACAAAGAGAAAACAAAAACATTGACTTAATTAAAACTTGATTTAAGTTCTAATTTGGGGTATATTAAAAGAATATGACTAAATAATCATCAAGCACGTAAGAGTTCTAAAGGGAGGATCCCCCTCAAGCTCATAAGAACTTTCAAAGCCCACAATTGCCCACTCAAATCTACATGCAGATTCCTGAAATCAGGATTTCTAGTAACACATGTTTCATTAAGGATTTCAAACTCAGCCACCTAATGAAACACACACCAATAGCAGGGAATCTTGTTTCCATAACTTCCACGGACAATGATTATAAGGGAGTATTATTGAAGAAATTATTAATTGATTATTCTTCATATTTAAAAAAGGGTACTACATCTTAATGGAAATAACTAACTAGCTTAATTCTCTCCTAAATTTTAAGAAATAGAATTGTAGGGGAATAATTCTTTTTTAAAATTAGGAAACAAAATCATAGGATGAGATCACAATTGATCTCCCCTTTTATTCCTAAAAATACTTTCCTAAAATAAAACAAAATCATAGGAGAAGATCAAAATTGATCGCTCCTTTTATTCTTAAAAATACTTTCCTAAAATAAATTATCTAACTTTGATTCTCAAATATTCAACACTCCTCAAGCTGGAGAATATATATCATATAATCCAAGCTTACAAATTAAGTCTTCAAAGTTAGGTCAAGGTAGAGCTTTGATGAGGATGTCTGCAGTTTGTTGCTTGGTAAAAATGTATTTCAATTTAATGCTCACTAGTCACCTTCTTTGTAATGAACTGTCTATCAATTTCAACATGCTTAGTCCTCTCATGATGCATGAGATTCTTAGCTATGCTGATAGCTGCCTAATTATCATACATTGACAGAATAGGAGATGAACTCATTTGTCCCAGTTCACTAAGAATAATTTTAATCCAAATCCCTTAACAAATTCCCTATGCCAAAGCTCTATACTCAGCTATAGGGGTGCCAACTTTTGACCCGACCCAGAAAATCCGGGTTGGACCCGACCCGTTTTATAAATGGGTCGGGTTCGGGTTCGCAGATTCGAACCGTTTGATAAAACGGGTCAGGTCCGACCCGGTGGGTTGCCGGGTAACCCCGACAACCCGTTTATTTTAAAAAAATTTGAAATTTCCCGCCCGCTGCCCGCTGCCCTAGCCCGAGCTGCCCGCCTGCCCCGCGTTGCCGCGTGCCGCACTTCCGCGCGGCGTGCCGCACTGCCGCAGCCCCCCGCCGTTTGTCGCGTGCTTCACTTTGCCGTGTGTGGCGCTACGCTGCCGAAAAGCCGTTGCCCTCGCGCGCGGCCACTCCGGGTCGCGGTCGGGTCGGTCAACCCGTCGAGTCGGATCCGGGTTGAAAATTGTCCGAACCCGTTTGACAAAAACGGATCAAGTTCGCGGTGACCCGTTTAGATCCGCCATCAGGTCGGGTCGACCCGAACCACGACGGGGTTGGACCCGAATTGAACACCCCTTACTCAGCTATGCACTACTTCGTGGCTTACCACTGATTGCTTTCTTGCTTCCTTTAGGTAACAAGATTACCCCAGACAAAAAGAATAATACCCATAAGTTAAATTGTTCTAAATCAATTGATGTTTCCAATGCCCAATCTACATATGAATATACTTTAGTGTTCACGATTCTCTGTGTCATCTTCAAGTATCTAAGAATCCTGTAAACTACTTCCATGTGTTCCTCTGTAGGAATGTGCAGAATTGACTTACAAACACTCATTGCAAAAATCAATACCTGCCAATGTGTGAAAGATAGATCGACGGCCAACAAGTCATGATATCTCCCACTGTCTACAAATTGTACTTTCTTTCTCAGTGTCAAGTTTTCTTCTGACTATCCATAGGATGTATCAAAAGGTTGCGGTCCAGCATTACCGGTTTTTCGAACCAAATGAGCTTAACCGTCTCACAGAGGAATGCCCCATCTAATTAATATTAGCCTCAATTTGGGGGTTGAAGACCACTCTTCCAAAATTTTTAAAAAAATATGGAAAAAATGTAGTGCAAAGATTCATCTAGATTGCAATCAAAAATCTTTGATTGTTGACTGTAACAGCTCAGACTCCACCGACTCTTCCACCGGACATACCCGATCGGACACGCGATTTGCCCACCGACTCTCTCGAAGAAACCGACATACCTCACGATAACCAAAAATAAACCTCCTCTCATTCAAACGGTTACACGCACATCAAGAGAGACGCGCAGAGAGAGAAAGAATAGGATTCAGAAAACTTACCTCTTCTCCTTACCGTCCAAGCCCGACCTCGCCGTCGGACCTTCTTTGCCTCGGCCGAACCTAGCCGCCTCCGCCGCCCCTCCGCCGACGCTGAAGCCCGCAGCCGTGCAAACCCTTGCTGATCCTTGCCTCCGACGACCTTGCCTAGTCTGATCGGTGGCTTCATCCTGTTTCTCTCCCTCTCTGTTATATTGATATATGAATATAATATTATATAACTTTATATTCCTAATAAGGTATACATAACTGTCCTATAGTTATCCATCTAAATATAACAGCAGAATTAATATAACAGAATAATATTATAATATAATGTTATATTATATTATAATAAATATATATTATATTGTAATATAATATATAATTATTAAAAAAAGAAAGAAAGAATAATTTTCAACAGGTGTCGAAGACCCCGGTCGTCGTACCTTAGGTCCGACCGGGATGGTTTGAAATTGAAGACCTGCGCCGTTGATTTTTAATCCGGGCAGATGATTTTAAAATTGAAGACTCGTGCCATCGATCTTAGATCTGGGCGGATGATTTTACAATTCGAAGACCTCACGCAGTCGATCTTAGATCCTGGTGAGATGGTTTGAAATCGAAGACCCTACGCCGTCGACCTTAGGTCCGGGTAGGAAGAACTACGGCAGTGCCGTCCCGATTTATCCCTCGGTGGGGAGGAGACGCCGGGAGGCTGCCGAAATTTTCATTGAACAACAAAAGGACTTGGACTAAAATTGAAAAATTGATTTGAACGAAATTCAAACATAAAATCAATTTTAAATTAAAATTTGATCAAATAATTTTTTACTTGAAATTAAACTCGAATCGGAATCATATTTGAACTTAATTTAATCAATATAAAAGACTTGAATTAGACCTGAATTGTTATATTATATAATGAGTATGATATAATGTTTAAATTGAAATTATAAATTGCAAAATTACAAGGTCTAATTGAAATGCAAATTGATACTAATAAAAGAATCCTTTTTATCCGTCAATTCTCTTCTTAAAAAATAATTCTGTGTTGAATTGTCTAATTCCAAAACACACATGCTTATTCAACTATATAATATTCGCACATATAAATGGTCGAAGAATAAGAGAAATGGAAGAGCAGTATATTGAGCTTCAACATATGAGCATTGACTTTGATACCAACTACAATTGATAAAAAATTGTGCAAGAAACAAAATCTCATGTTCAAGAAACATTCTTACAGGTGAATAATCCTCCTCTCAGTTATATATGTGACTTCCAATTCCAAGTCTTTAATTAAAAGATAGAGCATGCCACTTAAGAAAAAACAGCTCAATTCATCAAGATCTAAAATTGTTAAAATGTCAAACTATTTTTTGGGAGCAAAGAATTTATAGTGCTTACTACAAGTATACTACAATTCACCTATAAGAAGGAATAGGGAATTCGTAGTGCCTACAGTAACTAGCCTACAAACAAAGATAAGGAGCTTGTATCAAACAAATTAGACTATCTATGAGAGAGTATATGAGAGCTTCTAGCGAGCAAGATAATTCTCCTACGAATACTAGCATGATCTCCTACTATCCATTGAACAAGCATTTTCTGTAAGCTATGTTAAGTGGGATATTAACAGCAAAGGGATATCTTCTATGTGCTATAAATGAAACCTGAATTAGAACACGCCACCGGATCTGCAACATGTGTACAAGCGGACAGAAGGCGTTCGTAGGCCTTTTTTATGAAATCTCGGACCATTTTCTAAACGAAATTACTTGCATAATGGATCATATTTAAATATTTTAAAATGCCTCTTATATACTAAATATTATCTATTAAACTAAATTCATCACTACATGTGCTCCGATAAATCTATTACAAGTACAAACACAAATAATTGAGAATGTTGCGCAGGGTCAAATAATATAATCCGCATGTGCTCCAATCTTCACATCTAAATCCCAAATTCGATGATTCGAGAATGCTGCGTGGGTCTAATATTCAAGTTTCATCCTCCTCAAAAGGACTGGAGTCGACATGACTTGAAGTATAAAATGCCTCCCAAATTCTTACAAAAATAAAAGTGACCTCAATGTCACCCCGATGATGGCCGCGTTGACAGAAAATCTCAACCGGAGGGGTCAAATCTCAAATCAAATAAAAATCTAAATTCTTAAAATAAAATCAATCATCTAAAAACTCAAAACTAAAAATCATCCACCTCCCGCAACCGTTTGTCGGGGGTGATAAATTTAAAATTAACCTCAGTTCACAAAGAGCAAATGTTATATCGAGTGTATCACTACGATTCATCCTTAAACAGTCTCTTGCCAACAGGGACGTGGCACGTGCCCTCTGATCGGGTGGTTTTACCACAAAATGACACCATTATATTACGATCACGGCCAAAGCCCGTATGTTCCCTAAAGGCGTCAAACCCTTGAGTTATGAATCATAGGGTATATCTGATAGGCATCAAGCCCTCTGTTAGCTAAGGTGGATTCAGATATATCCCCTTAGACAAATATCAACCCAGGTCTACAAGGTATTCTTGGACGAAGCAACCCATGGCTGCCGACAAGATGCCTTCTATCAGGTTGGGTCGACTACCTCCTCTGACTAAGTAGACCAGGGAACTGACAGCCGGGACGACGGAACCATGGATCTTGATCGGTGCTAGTCTTCATTCCCCCCCACCGTTGTTCAGATGGTTTTC